TTAGTAGCAACAACAATTCCCCACGTATACTCGTGGGATTTTGTATTGGCAGATTTTCTTATCGGAGTATTCCAATTAAAGAAGAAGCATCTTCTTTCTCTTTTCCACTTTTATGAAATCCTTTACTTTAATCTAAGCTTTGTAGTATGGCATCGATCGTCGTACACTTGTGGGTACAATACTCGTTTGTTTTGCGTATATGATTATAATAATAAGCCAAATTATTGATCCCAATACTTCGTGTATTCTACGTGTAATTGTGTGGCACTGTTGGAACAAAGCCATAGATAATGTAGCAAAGAGGATGTCGCGGATTGGCAAGTTTCTCATCTTTGTAGAAGCATTTTGTTCGGACATAAGTGGATGTTGGGGTTTTTTTTTTTTTGTTTTGGTTTCCCGCCCGATATATGAGGTTTTACCGCGATTAATTCAGACTCGACCAGCGTCGCGCACCTGAAAATGATGGGTGAGTCTCTCAGCGGGGGCTGCTGCATACACAAGAACTCGAACTCGAGATCTTGTTTAAGCTGGAACAAACCGTTTACCACTTGATTCAACCCCTCGTTTGTGAATGTTGGGTTTTTAATTACTACTACCTCCTGGGTTAGTGGCTCTCAGAAATTTCCGACATGATTTAGGTATATATGCAAGCTGCAAAGTTTTGTTCCATCTTTTGGTTGAATGTTATCGTGCTGCATTACCTTTGCCTACTAAAAGATAAAATTAGCTAGAATTAGGTTGCTGGTCATTCCTCCCCTTTATTTTCCCAAATTTATGGTGGGAGTGATGTTTATATCTTTTAACTTTTAAGTCAAATTCACATTGGTCCTCTCAATTTCAATCAAAAGCAAGTACTAATTGATTTTGTTAGATTACGATATTTATAAAAGATGATCTCTTTATATTACTTTAATTGATTTTTGTCTATATCATTAATTTGTGGAACTATTTGGTGCTAAAGCACGCGAAAAGTTTAGATATATTACTTTTTAAAGATTGACGAAATTGACGTTTAACAGATTTGAGTAGGTAACATCAGGAAATTACTAACATATTTGAGAAATTCCGTACATGATTAGAGGACCAATTAAAATAGAGTGGTGTTATGAAGATAATTTTTTAATACAATTTTTATATGTTATTAAATAAGTGAATATATTTAATATTATGAATTTTACGTAAATCAAAAAAATTAATTATTTAAATAACACATCATGTTATATAAAAAGATGAGATAAAAAGATTATATAAAAATAATTTTTTATTAAAATATTTATATTAGTCATGACTTTGACAAAAATTTAAATTTAAATGATATCATTTTATTTAATTAAAATTTAATTTAAAATTTAAAAATAATTAAGTTTTGAATTTATGTATCAACTTAATAATGTAAATTTTAAAATTTTGAATTAAATTTTTAATTTTCAAATGTAAGAATTAATATATAATAAGATAAATTTATAAAATTTTAATTGAATTTTAGTTAAATAAAATAACCATTTTTAAGATTAAAATTTTATTTTTTTAATCAACAGTGATACATAATATCTTAAAGAAAAAGACGATGATTCGTCGAAATTAAATATTGCTTAGTTCTCAGAAAAGTAATACTTTTTTTTTACAAATTTAAAAATTTACCGAAGAGAAATTTAAAAATTGAGGCTTAAAAATCCCTTTAAAGCTCAATATTTAAATTTTCCTCCACACATACCCCTCTTTTACTGCAATTGCGATTGTATCGGCTGAGTGCCTGAACCATTCACCGGCGTTAGTTTAACCGAATCAACCAACCCCACAGTATTCCTCCGCTAACCAGTAAAGAACCCTAGCCGAGCCGAGCTAGTCAGGCCGAACTCCCAAGCCTGTATGTATCCCTCATTCTCCCTCGTTTCCACTGCCAACTCAACCGCTAACCAAGCCGGCTCACTTAGCC